CATATTATGGATAATTATGCATAATTGGACGAACCCCCAGGGGTCGCGAATAGCTGCTACATACTCCTTACATCATTTTTACCTATGGTTTGCGATATTAGCCCATCTGGGTTTAAGGTTACTGAGATATGGGAGGTTGTCCGGAATTAAACTGGAAGTCCGGAATTAAACTGGAGGTCCGGAATTAAACTGGAGGCTGTTATAAGATAATCATGTCCGTTGTACCTCACCAAAAAGTTTCATGACAATAGCTGCCTTATTTTGGCCCTGATTGTTTATTCGCCTGTTTCATTGTCTAGATCCAGTGGAAATGTGGAGGTGGTTTTGCGTATGATGGTGACTAGTTATGCCTCAGCCGGTGTGACTGCATCCTTTACCCAAGCTGTTACAACGGGCAGCATCGGAACTATCACTGTAGACCCCACATCTGCTGTGGTCGCTAAAGATGGTAACAATTTCAAGTTTTACATAATGTTTTTAATCTAATGGCTTTTAAGCAAAAAATTTAAAAAAATTTAAAAAAATTAAAAAGATTGAAAGTTAAAATTAAAAATACAGAAATTAGAAATTAGAAAATTAGAAAATTAGAAAATTTAAAAATTTAAAATTAAAGAATTAAAGAATTAAAGAATTAAAAAATCAAAAAATTAAAAATTAAAAAAATTGAAAAATTAACAAAAATTTTACCAATGTCTGCAAAATTCTTACACAAGTTATTTTTTGAAAATGTGCTTTGAAGATTTACAGCTTTGATTCCTTTAAAGTTAACATAACCCTACTCTCAGAGACCAACACAATAATTTTCTTTTCTTTTTTCTTCTCAGCACATCAGTTGAATAAAACCATTTTGTTATAATCCTGTATTTGTTAGTTTATCCTTTTAGTTCCATTATCAAGTTGTGGCCCTAAAAATAACACAATTTGACCGTAGCTAAAATTAGATGTGCCCTGTATTCATGTAATGTTAATTGTTTTTCAAGCAGTACATATTCCAAAAAGCAGTTATTCAAGCAACTGGATATGATTTTGGAAATGATCAGACAATTCAGCTAGTATTGTCAGACCATTTCCAAAATCACATCCAGTTGCTTGAGTAACTGCTTTTTGGCGTATCGTATTACCTGGATGTCTAACCTTCATCGACGTAAGCAGTACATATTGTTTACTACTACTTTGTTCTATCTCTCCTTCTAGTTAATGTGGCAACAAAAGTGGCCATGACAGTTACCCAAACATGGGACCAACAACTGACCAACATATCGTCTACTGCATACACTGAGCTGAAGACTCAACTAGAAACTTCAGTAAGTTTGATGCTGAAATTCTTAACAAACTGAAAAGTTCCTTCTATATCTCTTGGATGTCATATGTACATTGTATATGGACAACTTACATGTATATGACAGCATTTGTTTGTCGGATTGTTAGTCAGGAATTTCCAACAAGTTGTGGGATGAAATTCAATATATCTATCGTTTTTTTTATGGATGGGCCTTACCTAAACTAAAAGCTAGTGGATTTTTGTAGCACATTTGTTTCCATTGCAGGTCCCTTTGACTCTATATCATGTACATAAAGAATTATATACAAATTACAATTACTATAATTATTAATCCTACACACATGTAGGTACCTACTGCCTTGCTATTTCTATGTGAAATAAGTCTCATTCTGTCCTCTTCACAGTTGCAACAAACATTCCTGGTCATTGTGGGTTTTCAGCGAGTAGAAATACAGGAGTTCAAGCAAGTGTGAGTAACCATAATGTGTGGAGAGACAGATACATGTAAAATAGATATCAAGCATACCATACACATATCGTGTACTAAATGTTACATGCACAATGTACATGTCAAGTCAATGTCAAGTCCCTCTCGCAGACAAAGCACAATCAAGCATGCCTAAGGGCAGTGTATTGGGACAAACATCCTGTAAATTATATGAGGGCCTGCATGCCCTCTTTCTTTAACCGTTATGGACTATTTTAATTCACCGTTAATCGTTGCCGGCCTGCTCTAATTCAACGTTAAGCGTTATCAGTATATTCCTCGTGAAGCGTTTTTGGTCCTTTTAATTCTTTGTAAAGCGTTATTTGTCATCCCAAATTCAGCGTTAAGCGTTACTGAATAATTCTTTGTTGCGCATAGACCTGCGTACTAGTAGTCAAATCTCAAGAAGCGGTCGTCACTTTGTTGCCTCTCAAATGCAGGAAAATGCGTTATTGAAGGTTTCAAAATGCAGAATTTCCCGGGGGAGCATGCCCCCGGACCCCCCTACATTGCTCGCGCCTACTGCGCTCGGTCCCCCTCTTCAGGCATTTGTGAGCGCACTCGGGGTCCAAGGCAGGCGTGGAACACAGAGGACACTAGTGTGAACACACTTCGTTACATACAATGAATGAATGAATGAATGAATGAATGAATGAATGAATGAATGAATGAATGAATGAATGAATGAATGAATGAATGAATGAATGAATGAATGAATGAATGAATGAATGAATGAATGAATGAATGAATGAATGAATGAATGAATGAATGAATTGTATTTGCAAGCAAATGTTAACCTGTGAATCATGTATCCTGTAGTGGCAGTAATATCCAGGTCATCATCATCCTGGTGGTTGCACAGTACGCTACCACATCAGTCTCCACGTCATTCAGCTCTGTCGTGTCGTCTGGAACTATCGGGACTATCACTGTCGATGTGAACTCTGCAACTGAAGAGAAAGTTGGTAAGTAACATGTTGACACTAGTTGTTATCCAAGCTAGGTTCAAAACTTTGTTGAATATAATAGCTGCTTTAATTTGTGGTATTCTGAACGGACACAATACTAGTACTAAAGTCTTGGAAAACAGCCTTAGAATCATTGCGCGTCCTGTATTGTGTGCATGGGTTTCCAACCTTGGAGACTCTGGAACTGGCCAATTGTCGAAACTCATGTACACACAGCTAGGGCAAGCTTGGAAACTCTGTCTTTTCGTGCTGTGTGAACCTCAGCTATAAGATTACCAAAATTGTAAGGTCCATAGGTGACATGAGACTGCCTTGTATAGAGAGATGTTGAATCTTTGAATGAACCAAAATAAAAGAAATGCCTATTTGATATATCAGCAATCAGGATGCTGCGACTTCTTTGTACATTGAAGCTGAAAAGCAGTAACATCACTGAGTGGGTCACCCTGTTTAAATATGATGGGAAATAAAATAAAAACAATAGATATATGTTTTCTTAATGGACTTAAAAGACACAACAATTCTTCATCAGTTGTCCAGAGGAATTTCTCGAAGGCAATTAAAATGATTGTGACTAAATTTAATGTTTTTCTTCAGTGCCTGTAACACGCAGTACAACAGTTTCACTGACAGAGACGTGGAACGCTGCTTTACTGGACACATCTTCTACTGAGTACAAAACTCTCCAGACTAAAGTGGAGAACTCCGTAAGCTTCTTATTTTCTTTTGTCATGTTTTTACAGTTTTATATGTCCTACACTTAAAGATTGTTCAATGTGTTTTATTCTATCAATGCCACGCTTCTTATTACAACGTTAAAGAACATCACTTTCAATTCAGGAAAGTTTTGTTATTGATGTCGTTCTTTTAACTCGTTTCAGTTCTTTGAGGTGTTTGTAGTTATAACTGGATTCCAGAGGGTCACGGTTGTTGAGTTCAAAGAAAGGTGAGGAAAAGAATGACCATTGTTTTCAACCAAGTAAATCCTTTGTTTTCATTTCAAAAGTTTGAAATTACATTTCAGTCCAGTTTATTTCACTGAGTGACAGTTTATATAATACATTTCTGTCCAGCTCGGGTGTTGTGTCTGTGGTTCTGCGGATATCATTGTCCTTTGAAGCTTCTTCGTCCTTCGTCACCACCATCAAGACTGCCGTCTCCTCTGGAACAATAGCCGCCGTGTCTGTCAACCCTGCCTCTCTACAACTGGCAGTGGACAGTAAGAAAAATTTGTTTACTTCACTAAATGGGTACTAGTACTAGGGACATCCCTTTAATAAGACCTTAAAGGAGGTCCAATATTTGATGAAAGCAACACCTCAAATGATATTTTCTGCCATCTTGGATTTTGACCAATGAAGTCATCAAATTAGCATGAATTATGCATTTTTTATGATAAAATTTACATAAAAAATTATTTTGTGTTCTTTACAGAACGTGTAGTACAGCAGGCCACCTTCAAACTGACTAATCAGGCCGGCTCCATACTGTCCTGGTCAGCCAACCTGCTGGTGCCCACTTCAACAGAGTTC